TGTACATTTTACGGAGAGATGAGGCATCAATTAATACATGTAAGATGAACATTGGTTCTGTACAGAAAGGTGGGACAACTCCAAGTGGAGAGGAGGATTCCAGGTCAAAGACAGATAAGAGGCAAATGGTTGCATTCTTTTGACTTTCTGATTAACCTTTCCAAAGGAAGCAATCATTTATCTCAGTGAGCAGAGGGATGACTTTGAGCTTTGTCTGTCCTTTGTCCACAAGGAATTTCCTTGCAGATAAATGGTGAGGGAGGTATGTAGCTTTTTTATCTTAGTAACTACCTATTTTAGGAATAGAATGGGAGGCAGATTTGCCTTAAGCAGTTCCCAGCTTGACTTTTCCCTTTAGCTTATCGATTTTGGGATCCTGAGATTTATTTTCCTATTACAACAAATATATACTTATAATGCACACTTTACATAAATCATATGTATTATTGTACAACTTGCATTTTCACTCTGTATTTTGAGCTATTTCAATTTTGGTATATAGAGAGCTACTTCTTTTTGATATCATAGTAGGGTAGAATAGTACTTTATAAAATAAATTTATCATACTTAGTTTAATCCTTTCCCTATTGATGGTTATTCATGTAACCGCCCGATGGGTTCTTCCTGCCAGCTACACAAACAAAATCAAGGAGACCATGGCATTGCAGTAAAGAAAGAGTTTAATTAATGCGGTGCTGGCCATGCCAACTGGGAGATGGAGTCCTGTCTTAACTCAATCTACTGAAGAATTTGGGGGCTGGGGTTTTTCAAAGGTAGTTTGGGGAAAGGAATGGGAGCAGCTAGGCAATGGGTGCTTGGTGCTGATTGGTTGTGGGTGCAATCATAGGGGTGTGGAAAATGGTCCTTCTATGTGCTCAGTCACTTCTGGAGGGGGCCTCTGGAGCAGTTGGTGGGTTGAGGTGGAGCCAGACATGCAAGAAATATGAAAAGATACCTCAAAAGGCCAATCCTGCGTTCTACAATAGTGATGTTATCTGCAGGAGTAATTGGGGAAATTGCATATCTTGTGACCTCCAGAATAATGGCTGTCAATCCTTCATGTTTACACCTTAACAGGACTCAGGCTGCTCCATCCTTCTAGCCTGGTGGTTTCTTATTAGCTTTACTAAGGCAGTTGGTTAAGTTTTGGGGGAATGGCTATTATCATTTAAACTGTAAAGTAAATGTCTCCCAAAGTTAGCTTATAGGCCCAGGAATAATTAAGGGCAGCTTGAAAGCCAAAGGCAAGAAAAGTGTTAGCCAGATCAGATCTCCTTCACTATCATAATTGTCTCATTGTTACCATTTTTACAAAGGTGGTTTCACTTATATTATTTACAATTAATTGCTATTATAAGAAATTATGCATTTTAATATTCTCACATATATTTACTTAAAGCATTATACTGGAGAAAGAAAACTCTCACATCAGAATCTGTAGGCCAATGTCCTTCATATTTGACAGTGTGTTAAAGTTTTAATGCTATTAAGCTTAAAGGACAAAACCAAAAAAAAAAAAAAAACCCACCACACACAAATGTTGAGAATCATATCCTAAAGTGATTCATCAAAAAGTAGTGTGACATGCAATTGAAACTCCTGTTTCTCTTAGTATGACTAGTATTTCCTAAGTCACATCTTTTGGTGTGTCAGATTGAGGCATCCACAAAGGGAATAAAAATGATCATATTTGTCTGCCTCCTTGTGCTGTATATTTTAAAATGTAGGTATTGGTACTATCTCTAATAAGTGTGCACTTCAGGAGTTGGTTCACATTCTCTGTCTTCCTCTCTTGCTCCCTTCCAACATTGAAAAACCATACAGAGAGCAGCTATGTGTGGCATACTCTGGACTAAGCCCTGGAGTTACAGGCAGCAATGAAAAAGACACACCTTTGAATTAGCATTGATCTGCATAAAACAGAGGGTGCCACAGAATTCTCATGACTCAGTAGCCCATCACCTCCTTCAATCCTGACTGATGATACTGTCTACAATGTGCTGAAAATACAGTGGTGAACAATACCAAAAGGGTCCTTTCATTCAGGGAACTTCCAGTCTAACACCTCAAACTCCCCACTGCTTGGAAGGGAGCATAAAATATTTTATACTTTCAGAAGAAAAAAGCACATGCATTCATTAGGCATGGGAAGGGCTGGAAGAAAAGGAGCAGTTGAGGAGAGCAGTTGGATCTGGGATCTGCCTTAAGGAAGTGGGCAAATAGTGGTCCCCTCTCCTGACAGGACAGTGGAGAGGCGCCAAGACCATCCCTACCTGGAGCCATCAAAGAGGGAGGGCTGCTATGACCTCCTGTGGGTCCTGACAGTGAAAGGTCCTCTTTTGGAGACAACTGTGGGGACAGCGTAATGCCAATGTGAGCCACCATTTGAAATGAGAAAAAGCAATGGAGCAGAAAGAAATTAGTCTGGTGCAGACCAGTGGTTGATTTCCTAGGGTTAGAGGTCTAGGTCTACCTTCTTTTACAGGAGGAGCAGTGGTGAGGCCTTGATGGGAGCCCCCTGTTCTGGAGTTCACTTAAGAGCAGGTGCACCTTCTCCCCTGAGTGGCTCCGTGAAGCAAGGAAAGAAACGCACAGGAGGACCACCTTAGAGCCCTGGGCCTGTGTAGCCCGAAATTATCTCTCCCCTCCCGGACTACAGTGCTAACACCCTCTTTCCCATTAGCGTCCAGGAGTGAGGGTGAGAGGACTGGGGAGAGGGAGGGGGCAGACACCCAGCAGTCCTTGGCGGGGGCGGGGGGGGGGGGGGGAGGGCAGGGGGTTGGGTTGGGAGTGCAGACACATCAAGGGGCAGTTTGGTATCCATCCGCTGCTCCCTCCAGCGCGGCTCTTCCTGACTTCCCCATCCTGTCCCACGCCCGGGCCCCCAGCCTCCCACCAGTCCCAAATATTATAGCAACACTAGAAATCTGTTGGTGTTCGCCACGTTTTAGGGTCTGCGAGGGCCTCCTGAGGCAGCCTGGTGCCAACGCGCATGTTCAGGCTGGGGCTCGTCGTGGCCCCGCCCACCAGTGGGTCCGACCTAAGGTGGGCCCGACAGGGGGCGTTCAGCCTTTCGCGCCGTATCCCTCCGCCCCGCTTTGCCGACACCCTCGCGGCGGGCGGTTTCTTGCCGCTTCCTGTGCGGCCCCTGCCCTGTTTGGTGTAGAGGCGTGGTGGGTGGGACGCCTCTGCTGTTGGGAATGCGGGGAAAGCGGTGGGAATCCAAGTAAGGAGCCGCCAGAGGAGAGCTGAGGAGAGGAGGGGGAGGCCGACGACCTGGGTCCTGGGCCTCTGAAGGCAAGTGGGGTTGCGTGAGGTGGGGTGCGGCGTGTGGGAGTGGTCCGCCAGGGTGGACTGGCTGGTAACCTGGCCCGCCGACCCTGACAGCCCGGCAAGGAGGAGACTATCTGGTCGGAACCGGGTGCGGGAGAGTGGTGCGCAGTGTCCGAGACCGCTGGCGATGGGGAGGCGGTGACCGGTGTGGGTCAGGCCGGGCCTACTAGGGCTGAGGGCCTGGATCGGGGAGAACCGTCAGATAGTCTGCAGGAGAACCACACTGACCGCTTCCCAGCCAGCTTTGCAGGCGCCCGCGCCCCGCCCTCGATGGTGTCTGTGCCGGGAGGGGGCTGTGGGGGAAGCTCTTTCGGGAGAAAGGAGGGGGAGCCCTTGTGTGGGGCGCCCGGGAAGGCCGGCAGGGGCCGGCGTCCCAGCTCTGTTTCCAGCCCGCGGGAGGTGGGCCGCGTTACCTGCTCGGGGCCCTGATTCCGGAAAGGGGCCTGTCGGACACCGTGTCCTGGGTGCTGTCCCTTCCCTCGGGCTCCAGGTTGATGTCAAAGTCTCCTGTCTGCGCGGTAGGTCTGGTGGATTCTCCAGAAGTGGAATCGTGAGTGGGTGGATTATGAAGACACTAAAATGAAATGTTTAACCGCTTTTTAATACTGCACTGCTCTATTGTCTTACATATTTAGATCCCCACATCCAATTTTGTGCAAGCAAATGGACAGGGTGTAGACTTGGTCGAATTTCACAACAGTGGTCCATGTAAATACCAGAGTAGTATTTATCCACCTTTCTTGTTCAGGATCTGTTTTCTCAAATGCTGATCCACTTTATGTAATGATGTGTGAGAATGTGGGTTCTCAGTAGAGGAGAAATCTTTTTGAAGGGTCAATTTAGAACATTTGAAGTCAATCAGCTGCTTCAGTTTCTGGTTCTGGAAACCAAAACTCTATCTCCAGCCAGTCCTCACAGACCCTCTCATTTTGGTACAGAAATAGTCCCACGGAAGAATGCATGGCATTTGTGATGGTGGATACCTGAGGAGCTCTGAGAGTTGGGAGACTTCATTTACTTAGTTTCTGATTCTCTAAAAGGAGGTGTTAGAATCCAAATTCTGGTAATCTGTCCCTTAACCTACTATTTTTCTATCATTGTTAACAAAGTCTCGGGGTTATTTTTTGCTAATTGCTCTTCCTTCTTTTTGTAGGGTGTGACTCTTCCCTAGCTAGAGGACTCTTCTTTGGTGGGAAGGATAGCATCTCCTGAGAACCCCTGCTGTATGAGCAGGCTGACATAAATGGTGAATGAGGTAGGATCTAGGTATGCATGGGGAAGGGGAGGGACATGCATAGATGGTATTAAAATAACAGTCTCCATTATCTTTCCTGCCTGCCTTCTAAGTACATTTGCCTATGTTTCCACTACCTATTTCTGCACCTCATATTTTTGTTCAGGGAAGGAGTATAACTTCTGTTGGGAAAATGACTGGCTTCAAAGTTGGCAGGAGGTGTAATCAGGCTGCAGGTCTTGGGGTGATGGCTGGGGAATCATTGGGGAAGAGCAGACAGGTGGGAGACATTTAACATGGTCTTGAATATTCAAATGCATATGTTATAAGCCTTGTTATAGGCATTGGATCATCTTAGTCTCTTCTATTTTCTTTCCTCTGCCTTCCTTTCTATCCTTAGGTCTGTTCCTTTCTAGGTTCCTGTAGAGATCTGTATGTAGCTGTTCACTTGGAAGTTAATTAAGAGAACAAAAACTATTTATTTGGATCGAAGGTAGGTTTAAGTATGAGCACCCCTGTTGATTGGGGTTATGGAAGGCTGTTGCCAAGAGGGTTAGACCAGATCACATTTTGGAGCCATTGTCTTCCAGCTTTCCAGACACCTTTGACCTCACATTTGTGTACAAGTGATGGGGTGGGGCAAGCCAGGATCATGCCGATGAGGTAATTGGTAGATATTGGGACAGGAAATGGGAAGAGAAGCCATGAAGAGTACTCAGAGGTCAGAAGTGTTACATAACCAAAGTCCTAGATTTGGAAAGGCAGGTATTGGGTTTAGAGATTATAGTGCAGGTCTGTTAACCAAATACTCAAAATTCCAATCCCACCTGTATTTTTGTCCATAGGCCTGCCCATGGGTTAACTATAGGGCTTGTCAACACTGGAAACAAGGAAGGAGGAAGAATTGCACTGGATCAGTGCAGGTTGGTGTGAGGGTTTCCTGAATACACCTATGGGGTCTAGTGGTATATATTTGACTGGTGGACTGACTAGCATGGGTCCAAAGGGACTGGGCACTCCTTTAGCCTTTCTTAGTCTCAGCAAGCTTACCTCCATATTTGTTCCTGTTTGATGCAGAGTAAAAGAATGGCAGTGCTTGGGCAGGACATTGTTGAGCATTAGTGGCAGTTTGCAAGGTATAAAATGAAGTAGTAGAGTTTTCTGTTAATTCACTTCTACTACACAATTCATTTCTACTCTCCTATGTCCTTCTGTGTGGCTGTTTGCATAGAGAAGGACAGTTGGACAAGACTCAAAGCCAGTTTCTTTCTTCAACCTCAGGTCCATCTCCACTGGTAGCTGTGGTGGCTTTGGATTGTTGGAAGACCATCACCTTCAGCAGGTCTGCACTTGAGAACAATCATTCTTCCCCAGCCCGAGTGTGCCTCTACCCTCTGTATCATTGGCAGAGGCTGTATGTTTGGAAAGAGAACTCTGTGACTGCAGAATTGACAGTCTGTAACTCTTGCTACCAAGTTTTTCCCTGACCCAGTAAAAGACGTTAAGACATCGACCTATGACACATTGAGAACCAAGGCCAAGACTGGACAGGGACATATAACTGGGCTTCAACCATGACTGGGACTAAGAATAAGACAAGAGCCCAGACCAAAACTGAAAAAAAGACTGCTATACAAGCTAAAGCTGGAGCAGAAAGGGAGGCTACTGGTGGCGTTAGGCCTGTAGCGAAGACTAGGTCCAAAGCAAAAGCTAAGGCAAGGTCTAAGACAGATACAGTGGCAGAGATGAAGGCAGTGTCTAAGAACAAGGTTCTTGCTGAGATGAAGGAAGGAGCTCTGTCAGAGTCTAAGACTCAGGGCAAAGCCATGGGAGATGTCAGTCCCAAGTCTGGGAATGAGTCCACCAGCTCCACATGTAAAAATGAGGCTGGTATTGATGCCTGGTCCTGGGCTGGGGAAGATGCCACTGTCAACTCATGGTTTGGGAATGAAGAAGAGGCTGGTAATAGTTCCAGTACTAAGAATGATAAACCTGAAATTGGTGCCCAGGTCTGTGCTGAGGAGTTGGAGCCTGCGGCTGGGGCTGGTTGCAAACCTAGGTCAGGGGCTGAGGAGGAGGAGGAAGAGAATGTTATTGGGAACTGGTTTTGGGAAGGAGATGATACTAGTTTTGACCCTAATCCTAAACCTGTGAGCAGGATAATTAAGCCTCTGCCTGTGTATGAAATTAATGAAAAAGATAGGCCCAAGGACTGGTCTGAGGTAACTATCTGGCCCAAAGCCCCTGCTATAACTCCAGCAGTGTTAGGATTTAGATCCCAGGCACAATCTGAGGCAAGCCCTCCTTCATATATTGTTCTGGCCTCAGCTGAAGAAAATGCCAGTTCTTTGCCTGTGGCAACAGCTTGCCACTCTTCTAGGAATACTCGCTCATGCTCACAGCCTGTCCCTGAGGGTCCTTTTGGTTCTGACCCTTGCATTCAGACCATAGATGAGATTAGACGCCAAATCAGGATCAGGGAGGTAAATGGGATTAAGCCATTTGCTTGTCCTTGCAAAATGGAATGCTATATGAATTCTGAGGAATTTGAAAAACTTGTTAGCATACTTAAGTCAACTACTGATCCTCTTATTCATAAAATAGCACGGATTGCAATGGGTGTCCATAATGTTCACCCATTTGCCCAAGAGTTTATTAATGAAGTGGGTATAGTGACACTTATTGAAAGCTTGCTCAGTTTTCCTTCCCCTGAAATGAGAAAAAAGACTGTAATTACTCTGAATCCTCCTTCTGAGGATGAAAGACAACGCAAACTTGAATTACATGTTAAGCATATGTGTAAAGAAACCATGTCATTTCCTTTGAACTCACCTGGACAGCAATCTGGATTAAAGATACTAGGACAACTGACTACTGATTTTGTCCATCACTACATTGTTGCCAATCACTTTTCAGAGCTTTTCCATTTGCTGTCCTTGGGAAATTGCAAAACCAGAAATCTTGTTTTGAAACTACTTTTAAATATGTCTGAAAATCCAACTGCAGCCAGAGACATGATCAATATGAAGGCATTGGCAGCATTAAAACTCATCTTTAACCAGAAAGAGGCAAAAGCCAATCTTGTTAGTGGTGTGGCCATATTTATTAACATAAAGGAGCATATCAGAAAAGGCTCAATTGTAGTTGTTGATCACATGAGTTATAATACACTCATGGCCATTTTCAGGGAAGTTAAAGGGATTATTGAAACAATGTAAAATGAACCACAAATAGAACATTTTGAACTATCTCTAAACTAGCAGGCTGTACATTACAGTGTACACATTGTACATTGCATCTTTAACACAAAGTTACCAGTGACAGGCTCTAGGTTTGAGCTAGACCACTTGGAGGGTATCAAATAAATATTATACTTTGGGCCAAAAATGTTTGTTGATTTTTATCTTGTCTCAATTGTCATATTTTTTTTAACATTTTACTTAAGATAGAGAACCAGTTTATTTAAACTAACTTGTTCATTAGTATCTGCTTAGATCCATCTGTGGCTTTAAGTGGCAAAAAAGAAAATATCCTTGAGTTTGTGATCTAGTTGCAGAAGTAAGGCATACACACACAGAAAGATAACTAACAGTACTGAAAGAGAGAGAGAGAGAGAGTGTGTGTGTGTCTGTGTGTCTATGTGTGTGCCATGCACACTCATGGCCAGATGTGCACACTCTACATAAAGGAGGCAGGGGTTGCTACAGGCTATTTAATGTAAGAGAAACTACTATTTTTCTCCTATTCCAGCTGTATCAGATACTTGTTCCACAACACAGAAATGACCCAGAATCTCAGACAAAATGTATTATTGTTCCATTTTTTAATTTTGCTACTACATTTATAACTCTTAAATTGTTAGGCCGTTTCATTTATGTCAAAGTCATCTCACAAAAGAGAAGGCAGGAAACATTTTGTGACTGTAAATTCTATGTCAGACACTGTGTTGACATCATATTTCACAGGTTTTTTTTTCCTCTTCTCACAGTGCTCTTGTGAGCTAGTTACTTGTATTTTTATTAGAACTCATTATTCTGGGTACTCTCCAGTGAGAATTAGAGAGGTTAAATACTTTTTCCTAGATTGCCACAGCGGGGAGGTGGCATAGCTGTTTTATCTGACACCAGAACCCCTCTCACCACACTACTTTACAGTCCTCCTGAAGGACAGTTTGAGGTGGTGGCCTTCAAAGCTTGGAGACTGATTTTAATAGTTTAATTTTGCAGTGGTTTTACAATTCTTAACTTCCCTCCAAATTCATGTGTCCATTAGACATTTGGCCACATCTGGCTGGAGGTCAGGAGAAAAGTCTAAGATAAATAGATGGATTTTATCTGGCAGTGTTGGAAATAGTAGGTGCCCAAAACTTTATTCAGTAAGATGTAGATCTGGAGTCATCAGCAAGGGCAACTTGTTAGATGTACTTCGTATCTTTTTCTATCCATTTGTACTTTTTCTTTCCCAAAGAGCTGAAATCATTATGTACATCATTTTATACCCTGAATTTAAAAGGTAATTGCTTTTTTCCTCCTTGCAAAATCATACCTTAACTTTTTTTTTGCTATTTATGATTTATTCTCCTGTGTGTCATATGAAAGGCCAAGGAACTATATCTTTTGCTATTAGGCAAGCCTGAGCATTTCTGCATTTGTACCGGCTGACACTACAAAATAAACTTAATTGGAGAAATTTAGACCCAGAATTGCAGCTTCAACAAAATAAATCAGGAAAGCTAGAAGAGGCTGCTGTGTCAACCTATAAGATAGTGATTCTTGGAAGCTGGTTTGGACCAGATAGCATTCCCAGGAGATTTATGCTATGGCTGAGTTCTCTAAGACTCATGGTGGGAATTATAATCCCTGGTATAAGCCGAAATGAAAGATTCTATGTGTGAAAATATGGAGTTATATGCTTTTGAGATTTTCTGCCAGTTGAGAAACTAAAACAAGATCATACTGTAAATATGTTTGTAACTTGCTTCCCACTCAGTTGTATACTGTAAACATCTTTATATGTCAATAAATATGCTTCTACCACATATTTTTGAATCACTTAATATTTTTCATATGTTAAAAGTTGGTATATAGTAGTGTAATCCTTTATTGCATATTCTTTTAATTTACAACATGCACATTCTTTTGCAAAAATAGAAATACAGTATTGAGACTTGCCTTTTTCTCTTAACAGTTATGTTTTCAATTTAGTATTTATAGATCTGTCACATGCTTTTTATTTAATAGTTTTATTGAAATATAATTGACATATATTAAGCTTACAGTTTGATCAATTTTGAAATATATATACACACAAAACCATAACCACAATAAAAACTGTAAACATTTGTCACCCACCAAAGTTGCTTTTTTTTTGAAACAGTCTTGCTCTGTCACCCAGGCTGGAGTACAATGGTGTGATCTCAACTCACTGCAACCTCTGCATCCCAGGTTCAAGCAATTCTTGTGCCTCCATCTCCTGAGCAGCTGAGACTGCAGGTGTGTGCCACCATACTCAGCTAATTTTAAAAAAAATTTTTTAATAGAGACAGTGTTGGCCAGGCCAGTCTTGAACTCCTGGCCTCATGTGATAGATCCACCTCAGCCTCCCAGAGTGCCAGGATTACAGGCATAAGCCACCACGCCCAGCCTCCCTTAAAGCTTCTTAATGCCTCTTTATAGTCCCTCCGTCCTCTCTCTCCCTGTACCCCTCACCCAGGCAATCATGGGTCACTTTCTGACAACATATAATTGTTTTCATTATCTGTAATTGTGTATAAATTGACTCATACAGCATGTACTCTTTGATTAGGAGGGGATCTGGCTTATTTCACTTAGCATAATTATTTGAGATTCATCCATGTCATGTGTCACTATTTCATCACTTTTTATTGCCAGGTAGTATTTCACCATAAGTCTTACCACAGTTTGTTTATCCATTCATTTGTTGATGGCCATTTGAGTTGTTCAGAGTTTGGCTATTATAAGTAAAGCAGCTAGGAGCATTTGTGTACAAGTGTTTTATGGACATAGGCTTTCATTTCTTTGGAAAGACTTCTAACAATTTTGAATCTTCTGGCCCATTAATAAAATTTCCACTTATTTAAGTCCCCTTTATTTCTCTAAGCAGCATTGTGTAGTTTTCATGCAACATGCTTTTTTAGCAGCTGCATATATTATTTTATGTGGTTTTATCACATGTTATTTAATCTATTCCCTGGAGATGAGCACTTACAGGATTTTTTTCCTGTGAGAATTGATGCTGCAGTGAGAATCCATGTTTATATGTTCACATCTCTGAATATTTTTTTAAGACAGGATCTCATTCTGTTGCCCAGGCCAGAGTGCAGTGATGTGATCTAGGCCCACTGCAACCTCCACCTCCAGGGTTCAAGCAATTCTTGTGCCTCAGCCTCCTGAGTAGCTGCGATTATAGGCATGTGCCACCATGCCTAGCCTTCTGAATATTTCTAATGATAAATTCCTTGTAGTGGATCTGCTTTGTCAGAGATCATAAACGGCTGTGCCCTTTAGCCAGAGACCACTAGGAACATGCCTGTATTTGAACAAGTTTGGTTTCTTGTTGCAGTGAGTGAGAACACACAATGAATGGGGAATCATGGGGTGCTTCAGTAAGATGGTTTTAGAAATGTCTTCTTATAAGATTTGGGCGTGTTAGATGATTTGGTGGAGAGTTTAAGAAAGTGAGGGTTTGTTGTAGATTGAGAGAAGTTGGGAAGCATGAGTAATTCTATGATTTGGTATTTAAATAAATCTTACTCTATAGGTAAGGAATACCAAAGTTATCATTGGTAAAGAAGCAGCAGTCACTAATATTAGCCAGAATGAGGGCAGGAGGGGATATTTCATCATTTTTATAATTGGGACAATGATTTTCTGTGTTAATACATGATTAGAGTAGTCTTGCTTTTGTCTTGATAAATGACATTCATGGAGTAGCCTGGTCTGATGTTAATGTTCTGTGAAATTGTTTCTATTCAGTGAGAGAACATCAAGGCCTAGCTGTGAGTGCTGGGCCAGCTCTTAGATGTCAGCCTGCTTTTCTTCTTGTCATGGATATTTACAAATTCTTATGTATATATATATTGCCCAACTGACCTTCAAAATGAATCTCACCAGCCTCAACTCATGGAGCATGAATGTCTATTTCTTCATATTGCCAACACTTGGTATCACTATTTTAAGTTTTTCTACTCTCATAGACAAAATAATCTCATTGTTTTAACAACATTTTAAAGGTTACATACTATTACATATTATGGATGTGACAATCAAATAATACTTTTATATTTCATTGGGTTAACTGTAGGTATGTGAAGATGGACCTCATTACTTAGTGGGTGGAGGAGAGTGGAGTATATATACATGTGTGTCACTTTGCCTATTTATGCCTCCTCATTACTGCCTTTCCCATGTGATCTTGAGGCCCTTGTAGTTATCACCAACTGACAACTAGGGAGGTTGTATCACTTTGTATATTGGGAACTAGATTGAAAACAGGAATGAAGAGTTTAGCTATGGTGACATTCTGTTACAGAGTTCAGGCCCTGAACTCTGTTATGGACCAACACTCAGGCAACAGCTTCAGTGACTAGACTAGCAAGTGATATGTACACACAACTACAGCTCAAAACAGAATGAGGCTTATTAATAAGACAAGCACAAATGCTTTCCAGTTACACTTTTATGAAGATAACATAAATATATTTCTATTTCTTCAGTTTAAAGAGATTGGTAATTATTTTATAAAATAAGCTTCAGAGAAGTATCATAATCTTGAGTTGATAAAAATCTTTAAGAGCAACATGGAAATTTTGCTTTAAGACTTTAGCTCACCTCTGGACACCTACTTTCAGCTGGACAATGTACTGTCTCTTGTTAGCAGATCATCTTAAAGGAGCTCTGGCCACCTCTCTCCTAAAAGTGCCATGTCCCTCTCAATGGTCATTGCGAGGGTTTCCCTGAAGGAGAGGAGAACTCTAGAAAGTTGCAAACTGGAACAGCTATTTGTTGTGTATGTTGAACACCTCATTTAGCAAACAAAACTAGGCTGTCTCAGGTTATGATACCCAAAATAAAGCAAAATATGAAAGACTTGAGTAGAAATATCTTTCTTCTCCAGAAGATGTTAATACTATATGTAGGAGGCAGAGACTGGCTACTCCCCAAGACCCAATTAGGTCTTTGTGGAAAGCTCTAAAATGTTAGGGAGGAACAAAATGCCTAGTATGTTAGCAATGGACAGGAAAGAGTAATGCAGAAAACAATAACGTGTTTCTAGGTTCCCTTCTTTGAATTAGGAAAGAGTGCTATTCCTTTTCCTTGTTGATAATGAAATGCCATTTTAATGGGAAATTGCACTGGAGAAAGTACACTCCACTACACCCATGCTTTATTATGTAGCTTTTACATGTAGCTGTGCTATTGTAGTTTAAGGATACAAAGAACTAATCTTTTACCAGAACCATCGTGATTCTACAAAAATATGATAATGTGATATGAGTTTAATGGCACTCCTTAACAAACATTGAAAGGTAAGTGTGCATGAATACATTTTTTTTTTGACATAGAGTCTCAAAGGCTGGAGTGCAGTGGCATGCAATCTTGGCTCACTGCAACCTTCGCCTCCCAAGTTGAAGCAATTCTCCTGCCTCAGCCTCCAGAAGAGTTGGGATTACAGGCACCCACCAAGTCTGGCTAATATTTGTATCTTTAGTAGAGATGGGGTTTCTCCATGTTGGTCAGACTGATCTTAAACTTCTGACCTCAGGTGATCTGCCTACCTTGGCCTCCCAAAGTGCTGGGATTACAGGTGTGAGCTTTCCCTCCCCTAGTTCCCCCCAACAGACCCCAGTGTGTGATGTTCTCCTCCCTGTATCCATGTGTTCTCATTGTTCAACACCCGACTATGAATGAGAACATGCAGTGTTTGATTTTCTGTTCTTGTGTCAGTTTGCTGAGAATGATGGTTTCCAGGTTCATCCATGTCCCTACAAAGGAAACAAACTCATCATTTTTTATGGCTGCATAGTATTCCATGGTGTATATGTGCCACATTTTCCCTGTCCAGTGTATCATCAATGGGCATTTGGGTTGGTTCCAGGTCTTTGCTATTGTAAACAGTGCCACAATGAACATTTGTATGCATCTGTCTTTATAATAGAATGATATATAACTCTTTGGGTATGTACCCAGTAATGGGATTGCTGGGTTAAATGGAATTTCTATTTCTAGGTCCTTGAGGAATTGCCACACTGTCTTCCACAATGGTTGAACTAATTTACACTCCCACCAACAGTGTAAAAGTGTTCCTATTTCTCCACATCCTCTCCAGCATCTGTTGTCTCCAGATTTTTTAATGATTGCCATTCTAACTGGCGTGAGATGGTATCTCAATGTAGTTTTGATTTGAATTTCTCTAATGACCAGTGATCATGAGCATTTTTTCATATGTTTGTTGGCCTCATATATGTCTTCTTTTGTAAAGTGTCTGTTCATATCCTTCTCCCGCTTTTGAATGGGCTTGTTTTTTTCTTGTAAATCTGTTTTAGTTCTTTGTTGATTCTGGATATTAGCCCTTCGTCAGATGGGTAAACTGCAAAAAATTTTTCCCATTCTGTTGGTTGCCAATACACTCTAATGATTGTTACAGTGTGATTTTCAATGCATGTGTGCATTGTATAATTATCAAATCACAGTGATTACCATATACATCACTGTAACCACCTTTAGAACAAGTTTGTGAGTTATACAAGGACACCAGGATCATCACATTATAGCCATGGCTATACATTGAATATTTTTTTCTCGAAAACACCAGGATCATCACATTATAGCTATGGCTATACATTGAATATTTTTGTTCTTGAGATCAGTTCTTTTCAATTTTCGTCATGTCCTAACACACACAGAAAAAGAATATTTGTATGGGATAAACAGACACATCTGTTCCCCCTTAAAGGCGTCAGCCTCAGGGACTCCAGCTGTTCCATTCCCTCCTGCAACTACTGTGAGCACTCCTATAACCTATTTCTAGCATGTCATTGGAATGTTCTACCCCAGGTCAGTGATTTTCAATCTGCCTTTCCTGGAGTCTTAGGATTCCCAGGAAATGCTTCAGAAGGCACTACAGAGGTTCAGGGGAGGCTGAGTGGGATGGATCTATGTGCTCCTTACTACCCTTATTCAAAGCAATGTAGCTTTGGGATTACATGTAAAAGTGTGTTTGGAAAAAGTTTCCACCTGTTAAAAATTGCTGTGGCCACTTCTATAAATATCCATTCATCCATCCATCTTTAAAAAGATTCTGCATCTAATGGTTGAGTTTCCCTTCTGCATATTCCTAACACTGACAGTATTACTATATACTGATTATTTTTTAGTTGATGGAAATCTATTCATGTTACTCAAAAGATTCCCATGTTCAGGTTTTAATTTATTAAAAGCTCTAGGTAATACTTTCAAATAAATAGTTTGTA